TTCCATTTCATTTAATATCACAAGTCAATACAAGAAAGCGTCTTTATCTAAGCAATCTTACAAGGCAACGATCCACAGAAACCAATACACGATCATAAACTTCTGTGCTTCATCCCTAAAAAATAATTCAGAAGATTATAATAAAAGCTTAAAGTACAAGATTGGAAAGAACACTTTTCTTCTGTGTGCATTCACCAGAACAAAAAGAGAGATATGACGAAGACAGTGAATATCAGCTGCAATGTGAGGAGGCAGAAAACCTTGCGGACAAAACTTCTCCTGATAATGATGTCCTTGAAGTCGCCTATAAATTCGTCGGCCTCGTCTTGTGGTAACATGTTCCTTCTGCGCTGTTCTCGTACCCAGGCTTTGTACAGTTCTAAATTTTCCCTTTCCCTCTGTGCCACCATTTCATCTGTCACAGTGATAGTATAAGGTCCCTGGAATTAGAATTAATTATTATTAAATCGAAAATCGCTCAAATTCTTTCAATTGCGTTATTACTGATAATTTTAAAAATCCTAATGTCACAATTATTTATTAGAATTATTTATTAAGCAAGAGGACAGCCATTAAAGAAATTTCAATTTATAGAAATGTTATAAAAAAGGAGACTATAGAAAAATATAATTATATTAGTAAAAAGCTTAGTGAAGAAAAGCTATGTGAATCTGATGAACTATTTAATTTAACGATACTGAGAATTAAGATCTGCTGTTTGAGTGATTTAAATGTCACTTACACTTTTTAGTTTCTGGCCTTTAATTAACGGCGGCAGCTGTGGAGGACCTGGGATATTGTGTGGAATCCGTTGTTCTTCGATATCGATATCGTCGGACCGCATTGGATAGGCTGAATGGAACTGCTCGTTAACATGTATCAATCTCTTGCTCCTTTCTGATTTTTGTTGTTATACCTAATAATATTACATGCCTAATTATGCGCTGAATCTATTGTCAATCAATCGCAACTGCGATTAACAAATGAAGATAAAGTGTAATTCGGCAAGCAATCGCTTTAAATGTAGAAATTTTAAAGAATGCTCCGTTATCACGATTGTACATCGTGTATGGTTAGACAGCAATCATCGTGATGAGGAATGGTTCTATTGGGTTGTCCGGAAAGTTCGTGCTGATGTTAAAGAAAAATTGAAACGCAGAAAATTTTAATTTAATAAATGTATACTAAAATTTAAATTTTAGTCGGCACGAACTTTCCGGACAACCCAATATATAGGTAGGTTTATTCGTTTTAATAATTAAAGCGTGAATGTGTTAAGAAGAATATTGATTTTGAAAAACACAATTAAAAGATATAATTTTCTATGTAATTATCTAACAAGTTTGTTCATAATAATTCTGATTAATATTTAGTTCTATCTCTGGAAAATGTTTATAGTGAAATTCACTGTGAGAAATGAAATTTCATTCTTTAAGATTAAATATGAGTTATTCTTGTTTAAGATCAACTTAATTTTCACTCTTTAGAGAGAAATTTTACACTAAATTATTTAGAGAGTTCAAATTTCTATTTAACAAAATATTTTTTCCTGAAAATTGAATGTGTTACATACACAAAGAATAGCCAAGTTTTTTAAAATTTTGTATTAATTTTCTGGGGAGAAGTCTTCATACGCATCATATTATCATATTTGATAATCAGAATTGACGCCAATAGGAATGGTTCATATATGAGCTGTTATATAAATCAAACGGTTATTTTTCTTCTTCATAAATAGTGAAGAAGTGGGGCAAGAATCTCAGATGGCGCAGTCTTTTGGAACAGGCGAAGAAAACTTGCGAGAAGAATAACGATCATTGTGAATTGAACTTGTCAGCGTCAAATACTGTGAGTTAGAGCGACATCACGCTTACAGATTTTCTACTTCTAAAAAATCTTATACTAAAATATATATATATATATACTATATACATATATAAAATTTTATTTATACAATGATTCGAAACTGATTAACTCATATTATTACAAATTTTTTTTGAAAATTCGTAAATTAAAATAAAATTAACATCATGTTTGTTTGTTTTTTGATATTGAAATGTAATTTTTGTTTATTATCTTTTTCGAATCAGTTATATTATGTAATACATTTGTTCTATGAGTTATGGTATATAATTTTATAATATATACATATATATAGTGTTGGAACAGATACCGTTTGAAAGATATCTAGATATAGATATAGGTATTAGTACGTAGAAAATGTATTTAGGTATAAGTACTGTTACATTTTTAGATATAATTACCTAAATATAGATACAAATATAAGAAAAAAATATCCGAAAATTTAGATACTTTTTAGATATTTAAAAAAAAAGGAAGAAAAGAAAAATAGGGAAGTAGGAAAAAATAAGAGAAAACAAGAAAAGAAAAAGATATAAGCAGCGTAAAATGTTATATTTTATTTGTTTTAATACATAAAAGAATGTCTCGATAATGAAAATTGAAAACAAGTTGCGTTCATATATAGGAAGTTCTCGATCTACGAGATCATTTCTCATGAGCGGGTACAGTGAGAAAATGATTTTGTTATAGGATTTTGTTATAGGAATAAATTAAGAGAAAAAAAACGTGACATTTGTTAAGAAAATGATCGAGTTATTATTGCAAATTAATTATTTCTTATTCGTCAATGTAATAAATAATCAATAGTATCGCTAGCAAATAAAAGACTCACATATACACATAGAAGTCGTAGATGGTCGTAGGATCTCAAATTATAAGAAATTGACCAATTCTCTAGCCAAGTATTTTCCCTATATTTGCCTGTGACTGGTCAGTTTCCCTGACTTAAGACATTTCTCTACGATCATCTATAGATTTTCGCGTCGCATATTCCAACACGTTCCAATACGCTCTTACCATAGCTCTTACTCACTCCAACGCGCTTATAGAGTGAGTAGGAGCTATGGTAAGAGCATATTAGAGCATGTTGGAGCTTGCAACACGAACAAACCTCATGATTTCTATGATAAACGATCCTAAAAGTCTATCCAAAAGATAGATTAGATTCTATATAGTTTGCTTCTATTACCAATAATTAGTTGATATAGCAGACTAGTAGCAATCACAACAAATCAATTTTATTGTCACATATTTACCGATTACTTGTTAAAGGTACTGGTTTATTAAAATTCTTTCTCTCATTATCAATGTAGAATGGACTAAGTCAAAAAGTCCTTTATTTTGCAATTTTCACAATATTTTAGGAGATATTACAATAATTTCTAAAGACCACCAAATAAGTACATATTCGCGGATTACCATCAAGACTACGCTTAGGGGATTCGCACAATAAAAGGAACAGAGAACAGAGAATAAGAATTTCAACCTATTATATCAGAAATGTATTGTGGAATATACAGTTTCTGATAGGCTGAAATTCTTATTCTCTATTCTCTGTTCCCTATTTTGTTTATTGTGCGGAGCCCCTATCAGTTGCATTAGATTATCGCGCAAGGACTATTTGATAGGCGCGCGCTAAGCGCCATAACTCAAGCAGCGTGCCTACCAAGTAGTCACTATTCCCCGCGCAACAAGTGATCGCAACCAATGGGCGTATACTTGGTGGTAATCCACGTAGTAATACTCAATAAATGATATTTAGAAATTAATTATATTTAGAAATTAATATCTCCTAAAGTATTGCAAAAATTGCACAATGGTAAAGGACTTTTCGACTCACAAGGGAAGTTTCACAACTGTACGGAACCGATTTGATTCTCCATGAAATATGTTGTTAAACATGAAAATCTAAGAGACGTATTTTTTTATACGTGCCCTAAATCATGTTTAAGAAGTAAAACACCTCTTTGAAAAAAAACAGTATTTTTCTTTTGAAGCGAATATCGTCGGAAGTATTGTATATATATATTAGATGTAGTAAAAAGAAATCCATTATTTTTCCATTCAATTTCATGCAAAAATAATGGATTTCTTTTTACTACACCTAATATATATA